AATAATAATGTGTAAATATTTCATTGGTAAACAAGGGAGTACATTTTGTTCAATAAGTTTAAAAAAACTAAATCTAGATTTTCCAGAAGTTACAAAATTTTTTTCAACTGGCTTCTACTGAAAACCCCCTGGATGTTAAATGCATAATAGGATTTTCCTTTTCACAAATGGGAGAACTAAAATCAAGATATCATCAAGGTATATCAAGGTATCTTGGTATATTTCCAAGTATGAAACCAAGATTCCAAGAGAGCATTATCTATTGGAATATATTTTTAGTTGCTTAGCAAATATTAAAATGTCAAATTTGTTATAAAAATTGAAAGTTTAAAAAGGTATTTATGAAATAGTAGGCAGATAGACGTATAGAATATATGTATAATGGGAAAAAATGTAATTTTCCTATTAAACAAGCATATGAGATGGGAAGACTTCAGGACTACGCCAAGAGTTAAGGAAACAGAAATAACAAGGAAGGAAGAATCAATGGCAAAGAGAAAAGAATAAGTAAAAACTCACATATTTAGTATCAGTAGATTCCAATCAATACTTGAAGGGATAGCCTTGTCTTCTTGAACTCATGATAACAAAAATTCTGTTGTAAATCAAAATAATAGATCTCTTAGGGAGAAAGATGCATTTTAAAAAAAAACCTTCATCATTGTATATTACTATTAAATTGTATTTAGAATAAACAGATCATAAAAATTAACCTTCCATTCAAATAGGGGTAAGAATTATATCACAAAACTTAAGGAAAAAAAGTGGCAAATACACCTGGGCTTTTGACCTTGTATTTCTCCCATTTGATGCAATAATGAGCAGCAAAGTCCAGTTCCCTGAAAGCTGGGGGGCTAGAAGCTGGAAGAGAAATACAATTAAAGAGCCAGTAAGAGTATTTAAAGCCTCCAGAGGGAACAGTGTACAATCCCAGTAGCAATTCCTGTGGCAATTCTAGGACAAGACTAGTAAAAATAAAGTCTGGTGACTTTACAATGACTTTGGTTTAGCAAATATGTTTTAAAGAAACACATCACTATATAATGATGCACACTTGAATATAATATTATAATGAATGCACTGTTGCCTAAATCATACATATGTCCATCTGCTATTAAATTGTTTCAAATATATGATGCTAAATATCAAATGTAGGTTTTAGGACCAGTGACAAAAATTTTTAAATAGTATTATTTTTTCAGGCAGTAATAAAACCTAATGTCTAAGAGTTTTTTTCTGCTAATTATTAAAACTAATTACTTATTAATGTTGAAGATGTTATCTTTCATGTAACAAAATTTAGACCAAATTCAGTGGCCTCTCTGGTGGCTCAGGGAGAGGTTAGCTCTCAGCACTATAACCGTTGTAGCCTAAATTCAATCCCTGGCCAGGGAGCTGACCCACATGGCGGAACAGCCCACTGCTCCCCTCAGCATTGTATCTCAGCAGATCTGCCTGATCTGCTTCCCACTCTGTCTCTGGTGAATCCTCTCACACTCCGCACATCTGGCCTGCACCTAAGTTCTTATATGGCTAAATACGTAACAATAAATCTTTATTTTAGAAAATGGATCAAATTCAAATGCCTCAATTTCCACAGACTTTTCCCATATTGACTTTCCTACAACTTCATCTCCACACCTCAAGTCATTCCATTCTAGATATACATAGATTATATTATTTGATTCCCCTTCCAAATAGATCTGAGGTTTTTAACGATGAGTGTATATGTGTGCATGTGTCTGTGTGTGCAGTTTAAATGTTGGTGTTTTCTCAACAGAGTACTAACTCACTGAACTTAGGGCCTTCCCTTTCACCCCTCATATTTAATGATCCAAATGTTATGATAAAACAGTAAAGGCAAGAAAATGATCACCACAATGTGTTACTACTTGTGGTAAGAACTTTAAAAGATAGCTTTAATTTAAGTACATAATATGGGATCTACCTGGTGGCACAAGGGGTTAAAGAATGGCACTATAAAACCACTGCAGCATGAGTTTGGTTCCCAGCCACGGATGTGACCCACATGGTGCCACTGACCTCTCCTGTCTCATCTGCTGCTCCCCTCAGCAGTGTATTTCACTGAACTTGCCTGTTCTGCTCCCTACTCTGTCTTTGATGAATCTTCTCACCGCCCCCCCGCCACCTCTCACTTGTGACCCTGTTCTTCTATACATAAATAACCAAAACCTTTTTAAAAATGTACATAATGTTATGGGCAATTCTCATTGGTGATGTGGTGGCTCATTGCGATTTTGATTTGTGTTTCCTTCATGATAAGTAATGATGAGCATTTTTCATATAACTGATGCCATCTGTATATCATTTATGGATAAGTAACTACTTAGCTCTTCTACCATCTATGTGATTTTGTTCTTTGTTTTCTTTCTGACGAGTTATAAGAGTTCCTTATACTTTTTTAGATACCAGCCCTTTGTCAAATGTTATATGAAAACACATTCTCCCATACAATAGGGTGTCTTTTTGCTTTTGTAGTGACAAACTTTATGTTTGATGTAGTTTCATGTGTTTATATTTCCTTTTATTTTTGTTTTGACAAAGCTACAAAGAAATAACTTAAGACTGTATTAAGAGAATGCTTTGCTTCCATCTTTTTCAAAGTATTTTATGGTTTGGGGCCTTATATCCTTTTCTTCAGTCTCTTTTGTGTTATTTTATTTATGGCAAGAGAGGGCAATCTAGTTTCATCCATCTCATGTGATTTTTCTTACACAATTTGCTGAAGAAACTTTTCTTCAACGTATGTTCTTGGCTCTTTTGTCATAGATTAGCTGTTCATAGATGTTCAGGTTTATTTCTGGGTTCTCAATTTTAGTCTTGTCTGTTTCTGGTTTCATTCCAGTACCATACTGTTTTGATAATGATAGCTTGGTGGTACACTTTGAAGTCTGCAAATATGATACCATAATATTTGCATAGTGAGGGTATTTTGTAGTTCTCAGTTTATGCAATATTCTCTTATAACTACAATCTGGAAGGTTTTCTCTTTTTTAATAATTTCTTTACTACACACCTTCAGTCAAATTATTTCTGAATATGAACCTTCAAGTTGTATGTTCTTGAATAGGCAGAAAGTTTCAGGTTCAAATAATTATACAAGTTTCAATAGGTTGAGATGTTATATCATATAGATAACACTCCTTCAATTCCTGAATACTATGCATTGAATTACTACCATAAGTTTACCTAGAGACTTCAAAAATATTAACAGAATATGTAGATAAAATTTTCCCTTCTGAATTACTGCTTTGCTCTTAGAATGTTTTAAATACTGAGTTAATTTTCATAACAGTATGCTTTTCATAAAATGTAGTTTATGCTACTACTTGCTCCCTACTCATTTGGGGTGGTATTAAGAATTGTTTTTTGAAATATGCACATTATTGAATTTTGGCTTAATATCAGCTTATAATTTCAGCATACACTGCTCAAGTTAAAAATAATACCTTTAGATGTACTAGAAGTAGAGGTGTCAGTGCATTTTAAAATATTGATAGCATAAAACAACAAAGTCTATCAGCTATTATGCTTTAAAATAACATTATCAAAATGACAAATATGAATTTTGAATACCTTTTCTGGAATAAAAGCAAAACCAATGGAGACAATAATAAAGTTCAATGGTGCCAAGTTTTCAAGGAAAATGGAGAAGGAATGAAAAAGTTGATCAAATTATAACTTTAACAATGAGAAGCAATTATGTATAGAATTAATAGAACACACACGATATTGAGCATTTATGGAAACAAATAAGCCATATGACACCTTAATGTAAATGGAGCTTAACATAAATGTGCAACTTAATAAATAGCAATGTATTGATATTGGCTCACCAGTGTAACAAATATTGCACACTATTACAAATTTAAAGGATATAGGAAACTGTAGATGAAAGGAGAGGGTTTAATGGAAATCTCTGTACCTTTTTGTGTAAATGTTCTATAAATCTAAAGCTCAAAAAAATAAAGTCTATTAAAGCTAAATATTATAGTAGAAAGCTAAATTTCTCATTTACCATGTGTGACAGTATTTTTAATTTTATAAAGATTAATTATATAATAAAGACATAAATTGATATGCTCAAGTTCCTACTTATTATCTATGGTCTACTTTTCCTTATCTAACTGATGAATACACATTATATTTTATGGGCAAATTATCTCTTTTTAATGGAGAATTATTACTGTAAAGGGTCAAATTTAATTTGAATGCTGTTACAGATCATGAAATATTTACATTAGAACTTTAACTCTTTCTCATAGGTTAGTTTCTGAGTCATTGATGCTGCCCCATTAGATACCAGTTGCCATAAAATACTTTAATGCCATTTACAGCTGCGATCCATATTTCCTGACCTGATCACTTTCTTTCATGTGTAGCCAGTATGTATGATCAGTAAATAGGAAGAAATAATTACTGGGGACTAAGAATAATTAGTGAAAATGTTCGTACATTTAATGTGATATGTAAAACTGTGTCACACGCATTATTTTAGAAGCAGGCTTTGTTAATGTAAAGAATCAAAATACGACAATATCTGTTATATTTTAATGTTGCTTTCTTTATTTTATTGCAAAGGGTTCTGAAAACCATTTAAGCGTCTGCTCTTCTCTCTACCTGTGACAGGTGTCGAAGTGAAGATACAATCCCTAGAGGGGACAAAACTACCAAAATATGCAGTATTCCAGGCTTCCCTGAATAAAGTACTATCATGCCCATTCTGTGCGGGATCATGAGGAGCAGCAAGTTCCACAATGTCAGACATGAACTCTGGATGTCAGAATTGTAAGGGCTGCGGGGATTATCTGCTTCACTTTCTATGCACAGGGTGTCCTAAAGTAACAGAAAGAGTGAAATGCCTTCTCTCCTCAAAGAGTACATCTGTTGAAGACGTCCAACCCACTTCCCCTCACTCGCTGAGTTAAGGACTCTGGGCAGGGAGTGAGATTCCCCCAAAGGACACCAATCCAGAGCCCTCACTTCCCATCAAGATGCTTGTCTCGGCACCACACTTTCCTCATGGCGTTCTTCATGTCAGTGTTCCTCAGCGTGTAGATCAGGGGGTTGAACATGGGTGCAATCATCGTGTAAAACAGGGCGAACACCTTGTCGTTGCTCACAGAATCTGCCGTAGGCACATAGGTGAAGATGAGGGGCAGGAAGAACATGAGCACCACGGTGATGTGCGAGCCGCAGGTGGAGAAGGCTTTGCGACGACCCTGTGACGAGTGGGCCCTCAGGCTGGACAGGATGATGATGTAGGAAATCAGCAAGGCAACAAAAGTCAAAATGGACAGCACTCCTGTGGTGGTAATGATGGAAATAACCCACACATGGGTGTCCATACAGGCCAGCTTCAACAAGGGGAAAACATCACAGAAGTAGTGATCTATCTGGTTGGGGCCACAGAAGGGAAGTTCCATAACTACCAATACTTGCATGATAGAATGAAAAAATGCTGCAATGACAGAGACCACTATGATGATATAACACACCTGACGGCTCATGATGACCATGTAGTGAAGGGGTCTGCAGATGGCCGCATAGCGGTCATAGGCCATGGCCACCAGGATGCAGATTTCTGTGCCACCAAAGAAGTGAGCGTAAAACAGCTGAGCCATGCAGCTGTTGAAGGAGATGGCCTTCCTCTGGGCCAGTAAGTCTGTGATCAGTTTGGGGCCCGTGGTGGTGGTGAAGCAGACGTCCAGGAGGGACAGATAGCTGAGGAAAAAGTACATGGGCTGCTCACTGAGGCGGCTGCCCCTGATGGTGATAAGAATGACCAGGTTTCCAGAGAGGATTGCAAAATAGCAAAGTAAGAAAACCACAAAGCAGGTCACTTTTGCATCCATATCACTAAACAGTCCCAGGAGGATAAATTCTGTGACATTTTCATGTCCCATTGCTTCTGTGGGTTTGATTATGTAGAAAGGGAATTTAATATACCTGAAACTCTCAAAATATACCTGAAAATCTCAAATCTCTGACTATGGACTTCTTTTAAAAGCCAGTCATCATTCAATGAATATATATTGATCAGTTAGTAGGATACAATAACTATAATTGGTTAAGGATTCTGCAGTGTGCAATACATAACCTCTACATTTATGCAGTAACAAGACTCCAAATAACCCAAAGACTGTAAGATAAAACACCAACATTCCTCACTTACTGTGAACAATAGAATGTACTAAAACATGAAATGCTCTTTTCCAGGCTAAGTTTAAAATAAAATTTCACTATTATTCCTCAAGAGTAGTTTTTTGAACTCTTTTATGTGCAAAATAACAGCAAGTTTTCTATGCTTCAAGGTTAGGAAGGTCACCCTACTTCCTAGTCCATCTTCTGATATTGTCTAAATCCTGAAATTTCAGTAGTACCCATAAATGCTTATTATTTTAACCCTTGGACCTCTGGTGATCATCTCAGAAAGTACTTTTAGAAACAGTTCAGATGCCTTTAAGAAAATGGAGGTAGAAAGCAGCCTCAAGTATTTGGAGGAAAGTGTGTTCCAGTATTGCTTCCCAACACATTCGTGGCTTTCCAGAATTCACCTATTTCCTACATTACTCCCCAGTATAACCTGGCAGCTCTGGTCACCTCTGCCTGTAATCACACGTCTTTGAAACACCCTTGGGGAGTGACAACCACCCTTGGGGAGGGGCAAACCACATCCTGATATTCTCTTTCACTCCATTTTTCACCACCTTTTCTCTTTTAGAATTGACCACTTTTGTAAGAGGAAAATCCTGAGATAATTTAGTTTAAAGGAAAATATTTTTGGGGGGTGGTACAAAATATTTTACCTGTTCTCTTATGTCTTTTCTGCAGTCTAATATATCGCAAAACTCCTAAACTCAGTCTGCCTGTTTGTGAAGTTAATTGAAAAGTGTGTTCTTATGAGATTGTTTTAGAAAAATACACATTTGTCATACTATGAGATTTTGTTAGTAAATTCATAGACTTAATATCCTATGGTTTATTTTATTACAAATGTCTTGAATTATCAATGTCTGTCAAACAAAACACTTTTTTGCTTTAGTTCTGAGCTAATGGTATGAGTGTTTAAAGAATCTTTTAACTGTGAGTTATTGGCCCTCTAAAATAGTACACCTTTCTTGAATATAAAATAAAAATGTATGAAAAGATTGAAGTCAGTCAAGATAGTCCACATATTTAATTAGGACAGATCTATAGTAAAAAGATGCCAATTCACCCAAAGTTCATTAATTCAATAAATTAAAGTGCTAAAATTTGTTTAATTTGATTGTTAATTGTAAGTTTCAGTAACAGCTGGTATCAAGAGTTGTTAAATGAAGTTTTGAAAAGGAACAATAGATATTTCCAAGGCAGAAAACAAAAATTTTATAACAGAATGGTGAACAATTGGCCTGGGTTACATAAAAAGCCAACAGCACCTGATAACAGAGTAAGTAGTGATGTCTCTCATATGTGGGTTCAAAAGCAGTGCTACCATATTTAAACTCTTTGGGCTCCTGAAATATCATCTCACTGCAACACATTCCTTAAGAACATCTGCAACTCACAGAATCCTAATTGGGGTAGTCAGGACATCAGTGTCTCCCTGCCTCTCCACAACTTCTATGGAGGATTAAAAAGAAAAAGAAAAAAAAAATGAGAAAAGAAAATCAGTCTCTGGTTCTTACAATCAACATAGTATCCTTAGTCACAAAGACAGTTTTCTTAGGGACAAGTCTGACTAATAATCTTCAGCTCTTAAATAGCTGCAAAATTGTTTCTATAAGGAAGAAAGATCCATGGTGCCTGAGTGTTCTCCTTAAATTTAATAAATGCCAAAGTATGGCTCATCACTTAACTGTTGAATAATCTTGGGCAAGTCACATGCTCTCTGATGCCTGGTTTTTTGGTTTATTTTTAATCTGTGAAAAAAAAAAAAGAGTGATGATCCTATGACATAAGATTCCTGTGGAAAGATCCATATGAAACATTCAGGTATTGATATGTTGTAAATAAAGTGCATGAACTAACAAAATATAAACATTTATTATTAATTTTAAAAGGATCAACAATCTGTAATTATTTTACCATTGGTAAAAAGTAAACTCAGAATAAAATTTTTTTCACTAAATTTAAAATGCCACTGAGTGTGGATTTCTTGAGAAGTTATAAAACATTTTCAAACTACCTTTGATCAAAAAACCACAAACTATTGGATGTGAAGTGAGGAATAGGATTTTCCATTGCGCACAAGGGAGAATTCAAGAGATCAAAATACATTTTATTGATGAAGATCTCACTATCAAATATAGAAAATATCTTTTGAATTAGGAATAGTTAAATTAAACACTTCTAAGAAATAATCAGGTTTTCCCTATATTTTACTTAGTTCAATTCATAGTTTTGAGCTTTTTTCCCTAAATTTAATGACATATTTTTATCATTTACCTTTGTAAAATAAATAGAAAATAATCATGCTACTTGATCTCCTCTGTGACCCATGAAATAGCCTCCTATTCTACCACATTTATTTCAAGTGTCAGAAATTATTACAAAGTATTATGCACCTATGATACAGTAATGCAGGATACGGAGCATCTTTTTTGCCACTCTCTGATTATGTGATTGAGGGAATTGTCTTTCAATTTCTATGGGCATCTTGGTAACAAAATAAGGAAATATGGGGGTTTGGGATTCTTTAGCTATAGAATCCAGCTATGAAATGAAGTTGATAAGTTCATCAGCCAACTTATCAAATTTGTCAATTAATAATCTATCATTTCCTTTATCTCTTTATTGTATTCGTTTACCTTACTCAATGACTGGAAATTTTTTCAAATCTTTTATTTTTTATCTATTTGAAATAGAGCATACAACACCCCAAGTTTGTCTTTGCCTTCTGTTGCAGTACCTAAGAGTTCCAAGTTTGAAAACAGATTTCAAAAGAACTCTTGGAAAATAAAAACCACAAATATGTTTTACTACTTTGCCAAACAATGTAAAATCTGTTCGAATAGAAAATGGACAAAGAATAGGAGGAATGTAGATAAACAAAAAAGGTAACAGGATTAAAAAAAAAAGTAACTATGAAAAAGTAAAAATCAAAATCATCAGGTAACTTAGATTAGAGACACTCTGTAGGGGAGGGAATCAGGACCAGGACAAAGGTTCTGTGGTGATGGCACACAGGTGAACTGGTGAAAGTAATTTCACAGGGGAAAAAAAAAATGTCATATTTGTCATATAGATTGAAAGTCTAGAAAGGTATAGAAGAAATAGTAAGCAGATACATTTGTAGAGTATGTTAATAGTGGAGAAGTTAGTGTCCCTAGAAAACAAGTACATGAGGTTTTGCATTGGGTTAATTGTGCAAAACTAAAAAGGAAGGAAGAACCAATGAGAAAAGGAAAAGAAATAAATAAAAACTCACATATTTGGTATCAGTCAGTTCCAATCAATACTTGAAGGGACAGCTTTGTCTTCTTGAACTCATGATAACAATAAAAATTCTGTTGTAATCAAAATAATAGATCTCTTTGGGAGAAAGATGGAACTGAAAGACCTCCATCACTGTGCCTTACAGTGAAAATATATTTAGAATTAACAAGTCGTAAAAACTGACCTTATGTGTACTGAAAATAAGAGTGAGAATTGTATCTCAAAACTACAGGAAAAGTAGCAAATACACCTGGGCTTTCTGACCTTGTTTTTCTCCCTTTGATGCAGTAATGCACAGAAGAGTCCAGTTCCCTAAATGGGTGGGGCCTGGGGCTCCTGGAGAAGCTGCACTGACCCAGCAACAAGAGTATTTACAGGTTCCAGAGGGACCTGAGTACAATCCCAGTGGCAATCCCTATGGCAATTCTAGAACAAGACTAGTAAAATAAAGTCATTTTACAATGACTTTGGCTTTGAAAACATGTTTTTTAAAGAAACACATTGCTATAAAATGATACATGTCTGAATAAAATGTTATAATGCATTGTTGCCTACGTCATACATATGTACACAAGTGCTATTAAATTGCTTCAAATATATGATGCTACTATCAAATGTAGGTTTTATGACCAGTGACCAAAATGTTGCAATATAGCCTTGCTTTTCTATGCAGATAATAAACTCTAATGAATTCACCATATAGATGCTAACAGTCTTCCTTTGCTTCCATTATCAAGGTAAAGTATCTATTAATATTGAAGTCATTCACCTTTTAGTTTACATAATTAAATCAAATTAAATGTCCCCATCTCCACCATGCTTTTTCTCATTATTTTTTATTTCCTACAAACTCATTCTACATCCATATCACTCTGCTACTTCTACAGTATCCGATAGATGCAGATTATATTATTTGATTCCTTTTTTCATAACCCTGAATTACTTTTTTTTTTAAAGATTTATTTATTTGTGCATACAGAACTGGGGTGCAGGCCAGAGGCTCAGGGGCGGCGAGAGGCTTCACCAGAGACAGAGTGGGGAACAGAACAGGCAGATCGACGAAGTACACTGCTGAGGGGAGCAGCGGGCGGGCCAGGAGAGGTCTGCCACGCCATGTGGTCACCTCCGGGGCAGACGGGAATCGAACTCATGTGGAAGCGGCTTTTAGATTCTCAGTGCTGTGCTTTAACCCGCTGCGCCACCAGAGAGGGCCCTAAATAATTTTTAATTAATGTACATAATGACCTTATGAGATGAAATTAATAATATTTTCTGTAGAGGCATGATGCTGGGAAAATATAAAATATGACTTTGCCTAAGATTCTTCTGTAACACTGCATTACTGTGACTAGTGATACCACACTGCATGCACTGTGTGCAGTTAATAGATAGTTCTGGCTTTTCAATTTTAAACAAGATAATCAAATATCACCCTGAATATTTCCAATTATATTTTGTTTTATGTCATGATGCCATTTCTATATGG